CTGAACTCCATTTTCTTGCGTTTTATGCATGATTAAATGGTAATTAAGCTTTAATGAAAAGTGTTAGGCTGATTACAATTAACATAATTGCACTAGTCAGTTCATGTTCTCATGTTTTACATGCTGTGGGGAGCGGGCAGGACAATGGGCCTTTAATGGGGTTTGAATATCTTGAGCATCAACAGTTCATTTTTCTAGTGGAGAAAATTTCATCTTACAGTAAAGTGAAAGTAGACACACATATAAGGCCGTGTGTAATACATATCCTACTCCATCAATGGCCATTAAACACTCGTATAGACACACAGCATTGAGGACAAGCAATTAGTATTTCCAGATTCCCAGTAAACAGTTGTTCCTGTCCCAAGATTATTTTAAAGCAGGGAGAAATGATCATTTATTAATGAAAAAAGGAAATTTATCAAATGATAGATTAAACTATGCTTATTTAAAAAACAAGTATTAAACTTTATAAAATGAAAATATTTTGCCTTGTTTCCAACTGGTATCAAAATATTAGGTAATCAAAGATAAATAAGTGTATAAAGAATTATAAAACTTAAAAGATCAACACAGAGATGTATAACATTTATTAAATCTGTACAATGTGTTCTTTACTAGTCAAAACACATTCTACACTGGCCACTACTTCTGATAATAAGTGCTATATAAAAGACCATTTATCTTAACTATCTGTACTGGATAGAAACTGACCCAGAAATGAAAGAATCTTTTTTATTAAAATTAGCATTTACAAATTTATTTATTAAGGGCTTTTCTACTAAAATTTTTGAATGAAGCTAAAGTCAGTCACAAAACAAAATCTTCAGTAGATGGCATGTGGTATTCGTCACACAGTCAAAATCATCCTAATGTTTTCAAGATTTACACAACTGGAAAGTTTTCAAACATATTCAATCAATTAGAAAACACTTTTAGCCACTGATTATATATCATGTTCTAGAAATAGAAAGACATTCTGCCCTCCAGTAACTCAGTCTACTAGAGTGCAAATAAAATGCTCACATAGAATAGCGAAAGCACTATATCCAAGTATGAGCGTAGAATCTGGAGACTGTAGGTGACATGATTGATGCTGATACAAGGGTCTTAAAGGGTGGTATGGCCACACTGGAGTTCAGGAAGCCAGCAAAGAGAAGGCCAAGAGCAGTATGTAAAATGAACACACACCAAATGTGGGCATCCCCAGGGAGGGTGGCATCCTGCTGGAGGTAAGTTACATTGGATCTGACCAGGGGGAGGGCAGTGACTGAGGATGATATTGAAAGGTACATCAGGGCAAGTCTGCAGAGGCTTTTATAGCCTTTATGTTGGGCAATGGGGAGCATCAGAGCTATCTCTGGCTGAGATGGGAAGACAGTGGAGAGTTCTGACCAGAAGCCAGGTGTCATTAATGACTCATGCAGGTTCCTCTGCTCAGGTAAGATAGCACATGGACACGACAGGAGAGAGGAAACCAGTTGGTAAGCCATGGTAACTCAGTCTATTCTGAAATGACTTAGACCAAGGTGGTAGAGCACAGGTTGAGAGAATTGGGTGGATTTTGGATTTATTTTGAATATGGACCCTACTGAATGTGTGGCTGGATTATATGTGGGGTGTGTGATAAAGAGATTTGTAAAAAAATGACCTCAAAGGCTTTGTTCTGAGAAACCAGTACAATGGAGCTGACATTTACTAAGACAGGAAAGACTTCAAGAAAACCAGGTTTGAGAATGGAGTGGATTAGAAGTGTGGTCAAGTGTTAGTGTTAAGTTGCCTGCTCTGTGTCTGCCTCCACATCAAAATAGAGACCCATGTCCAGTAGGCAGTGGGATGGTCGCAGAGGTCCTGGGAGGTTGACCAATAAAACTTGAGGAGTGACTATTTAGATAGATAACAAAGAGACATGAGGACAAGCCCTAGTATCATCCAACTTTTACAGTTTGGGGAAAGAAAGATGAGAATCAGCAAAAGAGACTATAATAGAGTGGCCATTGGAATAGGAGGACCAATAGAGAAAGGGGAAATGGAACGCAGTTGAAGAAGGTGTTTTAAGAACAGAGAAATAGTCAAATAAAATTAAAAATCTCCAGCCTAGTATGGAGTTATGTGATTGAGAGGTGGAGCAACACTGATGTTAAATTCTTATGCTTTAAATTTACTGAGAAATATCTGATAATTCAAATGTCTCTAAGAAAATAAATGTTCAAATAAGCATTTTTCCTCCAATAATTCAGTTACACCTATAATGCTTAATTCACATATTATTGGCACACTATCAATTTAGAATGGTTTACCAAGAAAACTCTAATTTAATATTATTGAATAAATATAATTTTTGCTTTGCAACAATGGTCCTACTTGAAATATCAATTATTTGAGGAAAACATTTCTTCGAAGTTCCATTATTTTTAATTTTATTTTGAAATCATAGAATAGTGCTAACACTTCAAATTCTGACATTAGCTTAGCTTATGAATGGCAGCACAATCTAGTTTATACATAAAGTATCTCATTTTTTTGATCCAGGAGCATAAAGACAAATAAATGGGCTTTTCCTTCCTCCCAGACAACCTTGCAGAAATCCATTCATAAAAGAAGTCTCAGAGTCAATACCATATTTTCATCTGTAAAATGGTATTTCTCGAAGCATACACCAGACATGGGGATTTATTAACCAGTAATGGGGGAGGGAGGGAATCACGTCCAAGTGTGATGTTAAACCACACGAAATTGCCTCATTCAACTACTTTTTATCTACAAAAGTGACAATTTCATACAGTTCAAACTTGAACACTTGGAAAACTGAGTTAAAAAAATTAAGCAAGTTTCATTTCTGTAGGAACTTTAATGAGTGTGTTCATGTTTATCACTTCCTAAACATCAATACATTAATTAATTACATGAGGAGAATAAAAAATGTCTATGATTCTCAAATAACTGTAATAAAGGGCCTCTTTTTTCTTAAACCTAAACTAGGAAGATGTCTTTTGAAAAAAGGGAATCATGAAGGAACACTGAAAAAGAAGTGGTTGCTGGTTTCCACAAGAATTTTCAAAAAGGAAGATTTTCAAAAGGCCGGGAACAAACTATACATACTCGAACCATACGCTCCAGCAACCATGCTCCGTAACATTTACCCAAATGAACTGAAAACATGTCCACACAAAAACGTGCACACGGATGTTTATAGCAGCTTTTTCCCAAAACTTGGAAGCAACCAAGATGTCCTTCAGAAGGTGGATGGATGAATAAATTGTGGTCCATCCAGACAATGGAATATTACTCAGTGATAAAAAGAAATGAGCTATCAGCCATGAAAAGACATGGAGGAACCTTAAATGCATATGACTAAGTGAAAGAAGTCAGTCTGAAAAGGCTGCAGACCGTGTGATTCCAACTATATGACATTCTGGAAAAGAGAAAACTATGGAGATGGTAAAAAATCAGTGGTTGCCAGGGGTTAGAGAGTGGGGAGGGAAGAACAGGCGGGGCACAGAGGGTTTTTAGGGCAGTGAAACTATTCCGTATGATACTATAATGATGGATACATGTCATTATCCATCTGTCCAAACCCATAGAATGTACAACACCCAGAGTGAACCCTAATGTAAACTGTGGACTCTGGGTGATGGTGACGTGTCAGTGTAGGTTCATCCATTGTAATAAATGCACCATCTGGTGGGGATCTTGATAATACGGGAGGACGTGCATGTGTGGCGGCAAGAGGTACATGGGAAATCTCTGTATTTTCTGCTCGGTCTTGCTGTGAACCTAAAGTTGCTCTGAAAAATAAAGTCTATTAAAAAAGAACGGCCAGGAGAGTATAGAATGGGTAGGAGCGGAAAGTGAACATAACTTCATAACGTTATCAACTTTTTTGTTTTGCCAAATAAAGATGGTACATCACACATCTACCATCTACTCTCACCACCATTTCTGAAGATAAAGGACAGTTTCACCTCACAAAAAAAGAGCAAAAATGATATGATCTTGGAATAAAGAACATTTTTTCCCTAAAGCAAGTTAGCTGGAGCGAACTTGCCTTAAATATTTTTGCCGTAGACATTGAAAATTTCACCACATACGGGTACTATTCCACGAGCACATGTTTGCACATCACTGCCTCAAAGTGCAGTGAGACCAGAGGTAAGAAATTGTGCAGACCATCACCTCAATTTTATTAGGAACCTTTTAAAGTATTAAATTGACCTAAGTCCATTTTCTTATGTAAATGCTAATTATGGCTCACAGTGACCTGCCAAGAGATAAATTGAGTCGGAATGCGTTTATGTGTAAATGCCACTTGTTTTATGATGACAGCCAACCCTGTGTGCTACCAAATTATATGATACCTCTGCATGGCGCAAGCTGAAGGGTACTCAGAGCTTCAACCACCCACAATGTCTCCACTCCTTTCTTCTTGGGAGACCGTTCATTAGAAATGGGCTAGACAGCAAAGATGGGAACTATCTTCAGGAGACAAGAGTTCAAATGTGCAATGCAGCGCCCACTAGTAGTCCTGGAGAGATTACTGTCTCATGTGGACTCTTGAAACCTTGGCCCAAGGAGGGAAGACATGCAGGGCACCTCTCTGCAGGGAAGTTGAGAATAGAGGATGAAAACACATCTGAGTAGCAGCTGGTAGCGTCCAGACCTCATCGCACAGTCAAACTAGGGTAAGTAGGGAGCTGGAGTTGGTGCCAAGCATTGGGGAGCACCAAAGATAAACTTTTATGTTTGGGTAGAGACCCGCGTCTGTCTTGGACACAAGTTCAGCTGATTAACTCAAACCTTTAAAGTAACATATTTTTTCATATAACTAAGGAGACCCATTGCCCGTCCCTAACAATGAACAGAACTTCCTAAGACAAACCATGCTCTTGATACGCATTTTCAAAATATCAGATTATGCTCAACAAAAATTACATCCATGTAGGGGGAGGTTTGAGAATAAAGTGATGCCCAGATGAAAGGCAAGGAAGCCGTGTACCTACTTGAGAACTGGATGGAGAAGCCCGACTTGCTGATGAAGAAGTCACTGTCGAACTGCAGGGTGAGCGAGTTGAAGGTGCTGTGGATGTCCTCGGGGAGCGCGGAGCCACTCCACTCCTTCAGCAGGATGTCGCTGTCCACGGGGCCGTCCCAGACCTTCAGGATATCGTGAGCCATCTCAGTGTCAAACACGATGAAGTGAAGACTGCAAAGAGAGGGCACAGCTGTATGTTCACTCAAGACAACACTTCCCGTTCGGTGAGCACCTCCTAAGCACAGAAGTCTAATGCACCCAGCTCATTTCATTTGCACAAAGCCTCCCCAAAGTACACCTTACTATTATCTGACAATTATGGGTGAGAGGTTCCAGCCTCGTAGAAGTGAATTTGCTTGTGCAAATTAGAATATAGCAGAACTTACTTCCGCCTGTGACGGATGCAGAGATAGTGAGCTATATGCTGAGCTATGTATTTAAGGATAAAACAATTCCTTTGGAGACTGTCAGCTCTTTTTATCATTCAAAGCTTTCTAGGGCACACAAATCGAAGACGAGTTTGCCATGGCTTTGTTTTAAGCTAATCAAAGATTTTTAATATATGCAGCGTCAGTGTTGTTCTTGAAATGCCCACTAGGTGGTAGCACCCATACCAGGAGAAAAACGATTGCAAAAGGATGTTAGCAGAAGTATATTGTCTAGCTGTATCTGAATGATCTGATCTTACACTGTATTTGTTTCTATAAATTTTATTTTCAGAAAGATGCTTGATTTGAAATACCAACACAAAGGCAGAAATGTGTCATATAAGCTCCTTTCTTTATAACATTTTAACGTACTTCTATCAGATTTACAAATAATTTCCAGAGCAACTTAAAAATCTCTGCATCTGAGAAAGCTCACTTTCAGAGGCAGCAGCAGACCTGTAGTCCTATTTATGGCAATTTAGGCAGATGAAAGGGTAGCTAAAATACCAACAAAAATCCGTATTTCCTGAATGTGTTGATGTATAGTTTTTCATTCACTGTTCATTGCACAAAGTTGTAAAGGAGATAAAAATCACAATAGATGACATACAAAAAACTGTACACAAACCCAAATAATTTATTTTGTGCGAATTATATAGTCAAAGAAAATATCTGTCACACTCTACAGAAAATATAAATTTGTAGTCTATTTTTAAATGTTCAATATTAAATATTTTTAATATAGAGAAAAGTACAGAATATAGCAGATACTTATATACCCACCACCACCAATGTTAATGTTTGCCTTTTTACTGCTTCAGATCTTTTCGAAAAATAAAATCTTACAGATACAGTCATACTCCCCGTCCTCTCCACTTATTCATTTGTTCTTCCTCTCACCCCACGTTCTGATATTGTGATGGACTGTTCCCATTTATATTTTCATAATTTTCATGTGTGTATGTACGCATAGATATCCCCAAACAATATATACTACTACTTTCTGTGTTTAACAATAATTATATGATAGATGTCATTTTGGCATGAATGTGCTTGTATCATTTTCAGGTTGCTTTTTATATTCAGCATTATGTGAAATTCCTCTATACTGAAAAATGTAGATTTTGTTAATTCACTTTAAAAGCATGAGTAAATGCTTCATTCTTCTAGTCCTCTACTAAAAGATAGATAGCTTCCACATTTTATTATGACAAACAGAGCTACAATGAACGTTCCCATGGACTCATCTTAGGGTCTCTCTAGTTTGTTCCATTTGCTGTGAGGGAAGAGTTAAGCCAAGCAAAACCTCTACACTAAGACCAACCTCAACAAAATATTTGATATAACATAACTTAATACAGATAAGAAACTTACTAACCACAAAAGAAATGAATTTGACTCATTGAAATTAAGAACGCGTCTTTATCAAAGACACCTTTACGAGACTGAAAAGGTAGACCACAGAGTATAAGAATATAAGTATTAAATAGAAAATCAACAAAAGATTGCATTCAGAATGTATAAAAACTATATACAAATCAGTATGTAAAAAGATAGACATTCCAGTATGGAAAACAGGAGCAAAAGACTTCAACTGGCAATTCTTAAAAGAGGATATTGAAAAGGACAATAAACCTATAAAAGAGTGTTGGCCTTAGTCAGTCATCAGGGAAATGCAAATTAAGACTACTACACACATAGAATGGCTAAAATGAAAAAGACAGTCAAGGCCAAGTGTAGTTGTAAGTGGAGTACCTGGAAATCATCTACACTGTGACGGGAGTGAAGACAGGTATAACCACTTTGGAAACTGACAATATCTACCATAGCTGTCTAAACGGATCTACTGACATAATATGATTGGCATCAAAATCCTAGGAAGTCACTATTGCCCAGCAATTCTCGTCCTAGGTATAATATACCCAAGAGAAAAACATACACACAAGTAATACATGAAAGCATATTCAATAAGCCCATTTGCAATAACTCCAAACTTGATAAAAACAATTCACCTGTCCATCAACACCCAGAATGAATAAATACATTATGGTGTATTTAAGCAATGGAATTATCCGCCTATGTCAACGGAAGTGAAGGTTGAGAAAATCAAGACACAAAATTAATCACACTGTATAATTCCATTTTATATAAAGTTCAAATCAAGCAAAACTCATCTGAAATCAGGATAGTGATTATCCTTGAGAAAATATGATTTGAATGGAGATCAAAGTGTCCATCCTGGGTCTTGATGATCTATTTCTTTATCTGATTGCTGGTTACACAGGGGTGTTCTGTTGTGATCAAGCTGTACACTTATCATTTGTGTAGTTTTATGCATGTATGTCGCATGTTAATGGGAAGCTCACATAGACAAACAAACGTGCAGCCTGGTGCCATGAGTTCTGCCATTTTGGAAAATGTTTCACGACTCCAACAAAAAAAAATGATATAATAAAATTTAAATACAGATAAAGTACCAGTCATTTAAAAAGAATACTAGAAGTCAATATACCAGACACTATACAACTAGGTAGGGAAAGTTTAAAAATTGAATAAAATGTAGTATCATCCCTAAGGAAGTCACAGTTCTTTCAGACTCAGGCACAAGAGAAAATAAAACCCAACACATTCAATGGCAGTGCAGAGTGTCACAGTGCTAACAGGTATGCAGGAAGCTTCAGGTGAGCACAGAAGGGGCGGTGTCTAGTTCTGCCTCCTGTAGGCTGGGACAGGTTGTGTCAAGCGGAGAGAGATAAGGAAGGGAGATTCCAGCAAGTGTGATGGGACAGGAGGGGACTAAACAAATAAATATATAAATATGTCACAAATATCAAAATATAAAAGTTACAAACAAATGTAACAAATGAAACTTCGTAAAGATTATTTTTCCCTACCAGATTGGCAAAGATTAAAAAGACTGTCTGGTTTCAGAGATAATGTGGAGACTCTATCTTTTCACATACTGTTGGAGGCCATATCTACTCTTTTGAAAAGCAGTTTGGTAATGGCTATAAAAATTTAAATGTTCATACACAGCAAGTCCAGCTCTAGAAATTCATCATAACAAGTACCATCGGAGAGATATACTAGGAGGATGGTAGCATTGCTGATAACAGTGAAAAATTGAAAACGACCCAAATATCCCAACAAGGTATAATTTAAATAAATTATGGCACATTCAGGCAATGGATTATTATTCAATGACTAACTAGAATAAGGTGGAATTACAAGGAAGGACATAAGACTTTGACCATGTTTATTAACTGAAAAAAAAAATCTTCAGCATAATATTGGCATGATACTATTTTTGTAAAAATAAATAAATAGGTAAACAAATAAACAAAACTTTATATATTTGTGGTTGCATTGAGAAATTACAAAAATATATACCAAATTTTCAACTGTAGTTTTCTTTAGTATCTAGAATTACAGCAAACAATTTTCAAGCTTTTTATTTTTGCACAACACTTTTCTAGTGCTGTGGAAAAGGAAAAATGGATGACTTTGAATGCCATTCCAATGAGCTTGAATTTATTTTTCACATAATGAGCAGACAATTTTTTTTTAAGTGGTCAAGTGAAATGATCAGCTTTGCTTTACAAAAAGATTTTCATTAAGACACATAAAAATGTTTTAACCATTTGACCCAGCAAGAAATTTCCTAAGGATGTATTCCAAGGTGTTAATTATAAATATAAGCAAATATCTACCTGCAATACTATTTGCTATACGATTAGGTATGGTATCAAAAATTAGAAATAACAGAAATAACCAAGAGAGTCAATATTTAATTACACACACCCATACTATGGAATATGCATCAGCACATATAATACATACGTCAACATGCTAACAATGATGTCTGGTAGTGGGATAATGCATGTTTTTTTAATATACTTTTTCAAAATGTCTATATATGCATTCGTTTTACAGCCACACAAAATAAATTTTATATAAATTTTCTTTTACTAAATATAATAAAATATTTAATAAATAAATAATATATAAAGGGCTGGCCCCATGGCTTAGCGGTTAAGTGTGCGCGCTCTGCTGCTGGTGGCCCGGGTTCGGATCCCAGGCACGCACCGACGCACTGCTTCTCCGGCCACGCTGAGGCTGCGTCCCACATACAGCAACTAGAAGGATGTGCAACTATAACATACAACTGTCTACTGGGGCTTTGGGGGGAAAATAAATAAATAAATAAAATCTTAAAAAAAAAAAAGAACTTTATTAAAAAAATAAATAATATATAAATACATACATAAGACAATTTAAAAATAAATACATTTTAGATATATAAATACAAAATATGTATAATATAGTATAAAAAATATAAAAAATATTTAATAAAGAAAATAACACACGTTCCTTAGAGTGGGGATGGTGGATGAGAGAAAGCCCTTGCAGGACGGTCAGTTAACAGGCAGAGTGAATTATGTGGGTCTGGACAAGAGAAGCAGCAGCAGTGATGGGCAGGGAGTGGTATCTGGGAGGCTGCAGATGTAGAATTAATGAGACGTGATGACCACATGAGTATGGGAGGGAGAGAAACACATGATACTAAGAAGTTTGCTTTGATGTCTTGATACATGGTTAAGACATTAACAAAGATAATAAGTTCAGAAGGAAGGTGGCTGTTGGTTGGAAGTGTTGAGTCCTAGAAGAAAACGGATAATTTTCAGATGAGGTAATAAGAATGACATTTTTGTTGAGGGGTTGACATTTTAACTGGGTCCTAAA